TACCTTCAATATGTGTGTCGCATTAGGGAAACTATAATATTGTATAATAGCACATCGTCAAAGCCTTGTGGGAATTCATGTTCAAACCGTGTTACAACAAGAGGAACAGTTCCACCAAACTGAAAGAAGCCTGTCCATGACATTACAGTGAAGGAGTGGATTTGGAGTTACATAGCAGAATTCCAACATTACCAAGGCAATCTTGGTTGATAGCAGTGGGTCAGGATACGCTAACTTTTTCACGAAGCTGTGGCATCACTATATTATAGTGGTTCGTAAACATATTCTAGCGATGTATAGGAATCGTGTTTTCAGTAGATATTTCTTATGATTATGAAAATGGTTCTTAACGTTTCATCTTCGGGGTACAATACGGCTATCCAATGGGGACTTCGTGTTGAAATGGTCATGAGTAACCGTTGCTAGTCGTACAAGCCGATGTGGTCAATGGGGTGTTCAGGTCCGGTGACGTAGTCAACTGAATGCCACTATACTCTAATGATTAATATCAATCGCTGGTCCAAACTCGTTCATCTACAGGCCGCTATGTTATTGGTAGAATATTTGTAAGTCGAACAACACGACCTGCGGAGCGTTCGCCATACGGATAAAGTCATCACCTTATTTTATAAATGTTCTCATTGAACAGGTATTGGTAAGGATTTTCATTTTGAGATGAAACATATAACATTCATAAATCGAGCGAGAAAGGTTTGTCACTGATGGTGCTGCAAATATTTTTCCACATCACCAAAAACGAAATTTATTTTTTGTATTAATATTTAACTTTTGGTAGTATATACGGTTATGGTGTTACATAGTTATATGTGTTCCAGTACGCTGAACTCTTATCTGAATCGTAGTTATATCTCAATCATGGCTTTTCATGACTTTCAAAAACACATAGAGAACCACATTTCCATCCCATCAGTGGGTGTTACCGGGCCGAGTGCGCATGTCGCAATGACGTCACAATCAATATGGCTGTCTCCATTTGTTTTAATGAGGAGTAGTGTTAATTAGCTACTTTAAATGCCGATGGTTTGCTTTCTACTAATATTGACAAGTGTCGACGGGGCTTTGTTAACAGTCCAACTCTTCAGACAACGTTATTGACAGTCTGTCTTCCGCCATGACACATGAGTACTGATCGCAGTGCGTCAACGACAAGTTTGTTGTCTGTAATTACAGGCCCGCACTTCACAGACAGAAAACCACGAATTACTGCGGGACAACAGAACACTCAATCCGTGTTGATTGTGTTTACTCAGTGTTTACTGATAGATAACGAAGGGCAATGTTCCTCACGCACAATGAAAAACGATTGGTCTTTTCAATGAATAAAAGGATTTCGTGATTCGCAAATACTCTGTATATAATGAAAGATAACCAAATATCCTTCCTTTAAGGAAAAGATCGGTAAATAATCCTGTACCTGTAGGTTTATATTGTATTCCATTAAAAAGCTCATGATTCGAATCTACTCCTCGAAAATCCCTGTTCATTTTAAAGTCATACCAGTTATCCTTTCTACACTTGACACTAGATCCGTTAGTATGATGCCACTTTTGAAAATAAAGTAATGCATTTCTTACAAACTGTCCTATGATGAAAATACGCAATGAAATTATAACGTAATTTCAAAGTAACATCAGAATACTTGGTAACGCATTTCTGAGTTAAGCGTCTATTATGGGCAAAACATATTGAACCATCTTAATCAGTATCCGTTATTGATCAAAGGATATTTCAGAGTTCATGGTTCATCGTTCGTCGGTATTAACAGGGTTAACTAAATATATGAAAAAAGAACAAGAAAAGTGACAAAAATGTGCTTACCTCAATTTGTCGGAATCTTGGAAACTTGTGATCCTTGGCGGTAGTAAGACGACGCGATGAAAGACTCCGTACTTCTCAGCCGTAGAGGAATCGATACGTCACTGTAGGGAGCTAAAATGACATGGGAGTAATGGGCTCGTAATGGGCTTCATCGAGATGCCGATGGTCCAGCGAGGCGACTGCAGCAATACGGTGTGTGAAGTTTGCCGTGATGATTAGGTCTGATGAAATATCAGTTTAAAATACATATTTTCGAAATCGGTAATACACAGTGAAAGATTGTTGGAAGGATTTGTCACAATAGAGTGAGACATTAGAAGGTGCGGAACACATATGGGTGAGGTTAAACGGGAGTCACAAATTGACACTTTTAGCGTCCGCTATCCGCGAGTGACCAATCCTAGGACATGTAATGGCTTTTAACAGGAGAGGACAGCATGGAAGGTGTAGGCACTGGCGCCAATGAAGATTTCAGAACCACCGTGGCCCATTCAACACATACAAATGAAACGGTGTGTACTTGCACTGTGGTAATTGAAATCAATTTAATCTTGACACAGCGTGAGGGTTGGTCATTATGAGCGCACAACTTTATGCAAAGGTCTGGGGACCATACATGTATTCAAACAGTTATAACAATCAGCGATGTAATGGTTGTGTGTACAGCTGATGATGTTCCGTCAACAAGGTTGGTGAAGGCAAAAGGACAAACACATTTTGATAGGCTATTTCTCTTCTAAAAATGCAGTGAATTTTCGCGACGCCTATCCCTATTGAGTACATTGTGCTAAATGTTTAGGAGTGACCAGAGAAGGATGGTCAGCACTCCTTCATGATTTGTCATCGACTTCAGTTTGTGAAATAAAACTTGAAACTTTCCGGCTCTATGCTACTCAATAGAAGTTAGAGAATTCCCTATTCTTACATATGGCTACATATAATCTGTCATTCCATGTGGGGGAGGAGGGGGTAGCCTAGTGGTTATAGCGTTCGCTCGTCACGCAGAAGACAAGGGTTCTATTCTCTACATGGGTACAGTGTGTGAAGCCCATTTCTGGTGTGATATTGCTGGAATACTGACTCTCTCACTCACTGTCATGTCATGTCATGTATTTGTGTTTTATAGTTGAAGATCTCGCATGTACATGATGAAATTGCTTTCTTCTTTAGACAATAGTGAACTTGATACCATGCACATCAAAACTATAGCGCTCATTCGTAATGCATCTGATATTGATTTTATTGCGGTATCGTATTTCACTCGAAGGTGCGTAGCGGTTTTGTTATTTGAGTAATCCATTGTCACCAGTGCATGTTGTTTTACGCTACAGTCAGCAATATTATAGTTATGTCAGAGTGGACCCGTGAAGATCCGGGGTAGAATAGGTCTTCAGCAACCCATGCTTGCCACAAAAAGGCGACTATGCTTGTTGTAAGAGGCGACTAACGGGATCGGGTGATCAGGATCGCTGACTTGGTTGACACATGTCATCGGTTCCCAATTGCGCAGATCGATGCTCATGCTGTTGATCACTGTATTGTCTGGTCCAGACTCGAGTTTTTACAGAACGCCGCCATATAGCTGGAATATTGCTGACTGCGGCGTAAAACTAAACTCACTCACTCTGATATAGTGAGTCAGCAATATTCCAGCTATATGGCGGCGGTCTGTAAAGAATCCAGACTGGACCAGACAATCCAGTGACCATCAGCATGCGCATCGATCTACACGACTGGGGTACGATGACATGTCAACCAAGTCAGAGAGCCTGACCACCCGATCAAGTTAGTGGCCTCTTACGACAAGCATGGGTTACTGAAGATCAATTCTAACCTGGACCTTCACGGGTAGTTATATCAGAGCACCCTATAACATGGACCAGACAAATCACTTGCAGATAAACTTAAACAACAATTGAGGTACAATCCGACACACCAGTGACAACATTGATGTCTGGGCCTATATTGACGATATCGTCTCGTGTTATATTTTAGCTGTACTATTATCCTGCCTTTGCAATTGTCTCTGACGGGTTCCAAATGTAGAAATGGTTTTGTCACTTTTATTTCTCTTAAACACTTCACTGTAACCATATAAAATACGATTTCATCCAAAAGGTTGTTTGGTCGTTTGATTTGTTGTTTAAAGTATTCCAGCTATATAGCGGCAGTCCGTAAATAATCAAATCTGGGCCAGACAATCTAGTGATTAACAACATGAGCACCAATCCACGTTATTGGGATACAAAGCCATGTTTCAACGAGGTCAGCGTATGACCACCCAATCCTGTTAGTCAGCATGGGTTACTGAAGACCAATTCTCAACCAAAAAGAAGACACGTAAGTGATTGTTCTTATCAGTCTTGCAAGACATGTGGTGACAAATGTATGCTATTGCTAATAATTACCTGTAACATGGCCGTTACTGTTTCGTTACAACCTGACCCAGACAGCCACCACATCACGACGTTCCCACAGCAACATAAATATGTTCCAGACATCGTTTACGGTCACATTAAATGATGCTCTGATTATAACAGCGTCTTAATATAGTATTGGATTTTCCCCTTTATGTGCAGTTGGTGGTCGTGAAGAAGTACCTTGGGATATTTACAGAGGTAATATTCATGCCGTGTGTTGGTCTATCATCACATTGTACACAATAACACAAATAAGTGTGGTATTAACCACTATCAATTATTCATTATCGGCCAATATCTCACGCTTGTTTGAAGACAAAAGAGAATTGAGAATTTCACAACAATTATATCACTGCCTATTGGATACATACATGTGGAGGAAAACAGACTGACAATATTGGTAAAGATCCCGTTCCTGCATTCCACTGTCCATAAAGTGCCTACAGGTGGTCAAACATGCTACTTGTTTGCATTATTTGGAGTATATATATAGAACGTTGCGTAATTGAAGTGTAAACCTCGCTCTATGACAGGAAACAGTGAATGGTCCAAAGTCTGATATTGGTCTTTTGCCATTCATTGGCACGTTTTAAAAGAGTTTGCTTTTATTCTTTTAAACAATACGTTTTGAAATATTTACAGTTCTTCAAAGGATAGCTTCAAATTGAAGCCAAATATCTGTCATATGACGTTCGAAGCCTGACCGCATGTGATAGTGCGTTGATGGTGTTGGGTGACCTAATGGTGTTGGATGACCTGATGCCCTTGGATGACCTGATGGTGTTTGATGACCTGATGGTGCTTGGTGACCTGATTGTGCTGGGTGACCTGATGGTGTTGGGTAACCTGATGGTGCTGGGTGGCCTGATGGTGTTGGATGATCTGATGTTGTTGGGTGACCTGGTGGTATTGGGTGACCTGATGGTGCTGGATGACCTGATGTGTTGAATGACCTAACGGTGTTAAGTGACCTTATAGCGTTGGGTGATGGTGTTGGCTTGATACTGTTGGATGTCCAGATGAACTGATGGTGTTTGATGACCTGATGGTGTAGGGTGACCTGATGGTGGGTGACCTGATGATGTTAGATGACCTAATGGTGTTAGGTGACTTGGTGGTGTTAGGTGACCTGATGGTTTTGAATGACCTGATGGTGTTGGGTGACCTGATGGTGTTGGATGACCTGACTGTATTTCAACACAATCATTTCCGAGGTCCACAACAATGCAGGAGTTGTCCTGACATTATCTCCGGATGCATTAAAGATAACTCTAAAATAATTTGTACACGCTTCTGAAGAAAATTCACTTGAAAAGAAATAACCCTATCCATAGATCAGTCTACACCCGACATGGGATATGCTTCCCCGTAATTATTCACCTTATCTTTATCCTTGCCGGTACTCCATGACTCCCTGGAAAATTATACATTTTAGCCTTCGGAGCACGACACCCTTGTTACCATGGTCACAGAAGGCTTTCTTCTGTCGCCTTAAAATCTCCTCCTCGATATACATGACGCCATTTCCGTAATGCTTGCCCGAGTTCACTATCTTTAAATTGTATAAAAGGTAAAAATGGACGTGGGTATCATCTGGTAAAACAATTTCCATAACCAGCTTTGACATTCTCACTCAGTTGTTGAAGCAGATGTCAGAGCGCTGGAGTGAATGGGAGGGAGTCTCATCAGAGTACGATGACACGCCAACAAATGCAATCAATGTAGCTGCTTCGTAAAACAATCACACATGACAAACATACTCCACGTACTTTCACATTTGGTTTATTGTTCCAAGTAACCACATATCTAGTGCACTTGGGTACAAGGAAAGTTCTTGCATGTCGGTGGAGTGTATTGTTCTCTTTGCATGAGGATCACTTATGCCAGAAGCAAAATCTGTAGTATACATTAACATATGATGCACTAAAGATACACTGTTGGCATTTGTACATCAAAATTGTACATCATGAGAGTGGCATGATCAAGGGCCTGTGGCAAGTAAGGCGTTCACTACAACCGCGGATGTGGAATCAATAATCAGTGCGCATGCGACACATCCGGAAAGAAAGCTGCTTGGTTACTGCCCATTGCCCTGCAGCGCTTACAGTTCCTGGCCCATTAGCTAACCGCCTTTTAAATCTAGTTTTCTTCTCGAAGGGAAAAGTGTGGAAAATTGGAGGGAAAAATGCCTTAGAAGATATTTTACACGAGACACGAGTTAAGATGAAAGTAATGAATGTTTTTACCGGAAATCCATCCTTGCCGTGATGGATTTGACCGAAATGATAGCACTTTGCGTTGTCTAAATATGCAAGTGCTAAACTGGGCAAAGTATCATTTTCATTCAAATACAGAATACCAAACATGACATTGTCGAAAGCTATGTCTTAAAGGTTTGCTGATTTCCTCATAATTTCCCCTGTTTACCGTGGTTTAGAATGAACTTGCATTTGCTTTTGTGACAAGTTCCCCCTGGTGGAGCAGAATACGATATCCTTTCCACAAAGACCTGCTATCACCACTATTGATACTGATTAATATGTAGATATTTATGATATACGTGTACTCGAATTGCACAGTGGATTCTGATTTCAGAACATATTCTTTCATGACTGTACAATTTTGTGTCCCTTTTAAGCTAGCCTGTTTCGGGTTGCGTGAATTTCTCAGGATTCAGTAATTCAGGGGAGGATCCTTCTAGCACTTAACAAATGCCTTATGTTATTGCAGGATGCGGAGTACCTCATGTTTGTAGGGTAAGTGTTGGCTGAATGCATGAAAGATGTTTTAGTGAGTAAACTGGTTCCTGACAGTCATCGTTGCCGATGAAAATGTTCATGCTTTGAACCAATGTTTCTTCTCTTGACCTGATTATTTACCTGGAATTGTTATTTAAAGCTGTAAACTTGCTGCTGTCGCCAACAACATTCACCTTTCACTTTACAAAGTACATGGTACCCCTGAATAACCGGGTCAGAATTGGTCTTCACAGCAACCCATGTTGGTCCAATATTTATTACATTACATTAATGTTTTCACGCTCCACGTGGAACGTAGTTGTTTTGATGATCGACCACATTCATACCAATTATCCATGTCTACACATCCATCGATCTCATTATTACATACAGAGCATTAAAAGTGTCCCCGCACTAGCTGACAATGGTTCAACGACACACGTCGTGGTGCAGCAGGAATCGTAGAAAGAACTCTGTTTTCAGCAAAGATTTATTAGATTTATGGAAATAGCTTTGTCGCTTCCGTTTTTCCATTATCAATATATTTCAACAATAATACATACACGTAAATAATGGTTCTTATCAGTCTTGAAGACATGATGTCATATTTATGATATTGCTAATAATTACCTGGAAAATGGCCGTTACTGCTCCGTTGCAACCGGACCCAGACAGGCACCACATCAGGACGTTCTGTGGTTTACGGTCACATTAAATGATGTTCTGGTAATAGCAGCGGCTTGATACAGTACTTTCCACATTTCCGTCCATACCCAGTTTGTGGAAGATGTGACATTTACAGAGGTAATGCCTATCTCGTGTGTTTGGACTGTCATCAGATCGTATTCAAAAACACAAATCTGTAAGGCATTAAGAATGAGGATAATTTTTATGGATATACCTCTATTACCATCATCATCATCATCATCATCATCATCATCATCATCATCATCATCATCATCATCTGTATTTCGTATTATATTAAGGCCACAGGGCCATATACATATTAATATACATACTACAAACAAGTATGAAGGCGTGAACGAAAAAAGGAAAACAATCTCAAAATTCATAGCATGTACCTGTCTACCTGCATAGATTATCAAACACCCCAATGAAAAATATCAGTATATATATCAATATATATATATATATATATATATATCAGTATATATATATATCGATATATAATATATATGTGTATGTGTGTGTGTGTGTGTGTGTGTGTGTGTATAGCTGTACTGGAATTTTTAGAATTTTAAAACCTATTTTCTTCTTTACTCTCAAATGAGAGAACCTCTATCAATTGATCAATTGTTCTGTATCTCGTGCTTGCTTAGCAAAAACCATGAACAGGGAATTTGAACAACGAGTTTTGTGATTTGATGTCCCATTTAACCGTATTCGTACCAATCAGCTCAAAGAAGGAGTTTGTTTGACAAAAAATATGAACAATGAGTAATGTGATTTGATGCCCATGTTTTGCTCTCTAATTAGTAAGCTTAACTTTTTTAAGGAAAATCTAGAGATGTAGGCCGATAATTTTGGCTTTGTTGAATCCTGAGAGTGGATATTGACAAACCAAGAAAATTATATCTTTGTTGCATATCAAAACCCCAACAATGGATGGCCTAACTGACTGTGGTTGTTATAGTGTTGGACTATTTTTCACGAACCCGTAAAGATCCGGGTTAGAATTGGTCTTCAGTAACTTCGGGATCGGATGGTCAGACTTGCTGACTTGGTTGAAACGTGTCATCGTTTCCCAAATGCGTAGATCAATGCCCATGCTGTTGATCATTGGATTGTCTGGTCCAGACTCGATTATTTACAGACCGCCACCATATAGCTGGACTATTGCTCAGTGAGGCGTAAAACTAAACGCAATGTTTTTCACGAACTAGTCGGTCTGGTCAAGATGTAGTTTGCTTCTAAACACTGACGACCTTGGACCTGTGAAGGTCCGGGTTAGAATTGATCTTCTGTAACCCATGCTTGTCGTAAGAGGCGACTAACGGGAACGGGTGGTCAGGCTCGCTGACTTGGTTGACACATGTCATCGGTTCCCAATTGCGTAGATCGATGCCAATGCTGTTGATCACTGGATTGTTTTGTCTGGTCCAGACTCGATTATTTACAGACCGGCACCATATAGCTGGAATATTGCTGAGTGCGGCGTAAAACTAAACTCACTCACTCACTGACGACCTTGTAAAACCAAGATCCCCACTTACTATTCCAGTGGCAAAGGACAGACAGCCAAACGTCTATCATTCTTTTTGGGTAAAGGCTTAGATACGTATGTTGGAACATATTGTACATATACAATGTACTGATTAGTTTAAGCTGACTCAACACAGTACGTAGTTCTATGACATTTAGCAGCAATGCAGGGTCAAAATCAACGGTTAACAAGCATAGACTCTGATACTGGTCTTTTTGGTTTCATATGCATTGCTATGTTTCAAACCTGCGGGCGAATTTATGCTTTCCAGCTCTTTTAATGAAAGCTTTTTGAATTGTTCAGTCATAACATGTTTGTAACATGCAAGGGATTAAGGGCGGTGGGGTAACCTAGTGGTTAAAGCGTTCGCTCGTCACGCCGAAGGCCCGGGTTCGATTCCGCACATGGGTACAATTTGTGAAGCCCATATCTGGTGTCCCCCGCCGTGATATTGCTGGAATATTGCTAAAAACGGCGTAAAACCATACTCAGTCAGTCAGTCAGTGCAAGGGATGACTCAAACATCAAGGTCCACACACTTCGTTAAAGGGTGTCTGTGAAACCCCACTGGTGACAGGCATTTCTGTGCTAATTAACATTTTGCTCTGAGAACTATCTCCTATTGCGCCTGACCTAGTTTGTTACTTTTGCTCTTTGAATCTGCAACAGTTTCAAAGCCCTCAACACTTGCCCTGGACATTTGTCTTGTGTTCAAGCATCTTTTTGGATCTTTTCAACTTTAAAACATGTAAATATGAGTCAGTTTCAAGTACTTTTGATAATAATTCTATCCTGTCTCATTCAAAAATCATGGAGGGAGGCCTTCAACAATGACAATATACCAATCAGTGGAGAAGCCTACTCCTGGTCACCTGTGATTGATCAACAAAAGATGATCGTTTACACAGAGGAACAACTGCTTGCCTTCAACAATACCTGTGCATATGGACATAGGCTACCTGCTGATGTCTTACATAAGGTGCGACAGCTGGAAATAGGTGTACCAAAGCCTACATGGAGGGGCAAGCGAGCTGGGCGACGGAAACAAAGGCAGTCACTAATCAAGGCTGTCACTAATGTGTTTGAGAGATCTGATTCTTCTTCACGTGATAAAACTGTAAAACAATCAAATCTGATTACCGTACACCCTGTAAAGAAATCACCACAACTGAAACTTTGTTTGTGGAATGCGCAGTCAGCCAGGAATAAGTCCCTGTACATTGCGGATTCACTTATTGAACACAGTGTGGATATTCTGTTTATCACAGAGTCATGGCTGAAGAGTCAAGGTGATGAGCCCAAGATTAAGGAAATGACTCCTTCTGCTTACTCTTTTCAACATATTCCACGCGAACATTCTTCTGGAGGTGGTGTGGCTGTTATCTATAGAACACCCCTGAATTTAGTAGTGTATAGAACTTCCACAGATTCATTTCCTTCTTTTGAATTGATGGAAACATTATTAACAGTTAACAGTCAAGCACTGCGCCTGTTCTGCCTGTATAGGCCACCGCCATCAAAGGCAAACAAGTTTTCCTTTGGCCAGTTTTATGACGATTTTTCAAAACTACTGGATGATATCACTTTGAAAAAAGGAAACTTGCTATTGATGGGTGATTTCAACATTCATTATGAGAGTGCATGTAAACCTGAGGTCAAGAAATGTGTCAAGCTGCTAGAGTCACATGGTCTTACCCAGCTTGTTTTTGAACCTACTCACAGGAACGGTCACACACTTGATTGGATAGTTGCTCGGCATAGAGAAGATGTGGTGCAAGACATCCTTGTTGAAGATAGACAATCATCTGATCATTTCTGGATAACTGTAGAACTCAGTTTTCTCAAACCAACTGAGGGACCTGTCGAAGTTCAGTGTAGAAACCTTAAGCTTGTTTCCCGTGAAGACTTTGCTAGGGATCTTCAGTCTTCAAAGTTACTCACAGAACCTTCAGAGGATGTGAATGAACTTGCTGATCTCTATAACACAACACTGATTCAACTCATGGATTCTCATGCCCCTTGTGTCACTAGATACAGGCGACTCAGGCATGAACCACAGTGGTACAATGATCAGATACTTCTCGCAAAAACCCACAGGCGCAAGTCGGAGCGTAAGTGGAGGAAAACCAGGCTTGAAATTCATCGGCAGATGTATAACATGGCCCGTAATGAATTAAACCAGCTGATTCGTGAGACAAAGTCAAGATATTACAATGATAATGTATTCTCCAATCAGCAGAATCCCAAAGTACTCTTTACTCATCTGTTTTCCTTACTTGGAAAGACGTCAAACACTACTCTACCTAATGTGGATGATGATTTGACTCTTGCAAACGACTTTGGCAAGTTCTTTTCTTCTAAGATTGAGAAGATTAGGCAAGAATTTTCTCCTGAGTCAATTGCTGTAACTGGTGCACGCTTTCAAGGTGAGAGTTTTGATTCCTTCGACCCGCTCACAGAGGAACAGATTATCTGCATCATCAAACAATCAAAGGGCACAACGTGTACACTTGATCCAGCCCCTACTAAATTTGTCTTGGAATATTTTGACATTTTACTTCCTGTGTTCACTCAGATTATCAACTTAAGCTTGAAATGTGGCACTGTTCCAGGTTGCTTCAAGCAGGCAATTGTGAAACCTTTGCTGAAAAAACCTGGTTTAGACTCCACCTGTTTCAGCAACTATAGGCCAGTGTCTAATCTTCCATTCCTCTCCAAGGTACTTGAAAGAGCTGTGAAGATGCAAGTTAGTCAGCACTTGAGTAAACATGACCTCTATCACAAATTCCAGTCCGCCTATAGGTCATTCCACAGCACGGAAACAGCCCTGCTCCGTGTTGTAAATGATTTGCAGTGGAGCGTTGACAGGGGGGAACTCAGCCGTTCTTGTTCTCTTGGACTTATCGGCCGCGTTTGATACGGTGGATCACCAGATACTTCTATCAAGACTTCAGTTCCAGTATGGATTAAATGATATGGCTCTTCTGTGGTTTAGGTCCTACTTATCAAACAGGACTCAATCTGTTGCTGTTCGTAATGCTCAGTCGGTGGAAGCTATTATTCTTTGTGGTGTACCACAGGGATCGGTTCTCGGTCCTGTATTGTTCTCTATGTATACCAAAGAACTTGGTGATCTGCTTTGTGAGAAAGCCACTAATCATCATCTTTATGCTGACGATACTCAGTTGTTTGATGGTATTACCATGGGCTATGACAACAGTTCTGGCTTGACCAGAATTGAAGATGCCATTGACCATATTGGTTCATGGATGTTCAATAACAAACTAAAATTAAATGAACACAAGACAGAGGGTATGATTGTTGGCACAAGAAACATGTTAGTAAAATCACAACATGTTGAGTTGAAAGTTGGAAACATGGTCATTCAGCCTTCTCTACATGTCAGAAATCTTGGCGTCCTACTCCAACCTGACCTCTCCATGAAGAAACAGATTCTGGATCTGTGCAGAAAATGTTACTTCCATCTCCGTAACATTGGACAGATCAGACATCTCCTGTCACAGGATGCTGCGGCTGCCCTGGTGAGAACACTGATTCTCTCACGACTTGACTATTGCAACAGCTTGTTGGTTGCAGCTTCACAAGAGTCCATCCAAAAGCTCCAACAAATCCAGAACACAGCTGCCCGCATAGTTACTCTCCAACCAAAACGCTGCCACATCACTCCCATCCTGTTGTCTCTTCACTGGTTGCCTATTGAGGCTCGCATTGACTATAAGATCCTTACACTTGCTTATCAATCCATTCATGGTATTGCACCAGTGTATCTTCAAGAACTCCTCTCTCCTTACATGCCAACAAGAACTCTGCGTTCATCCTCGGCTAATCTGCTCTATGTACCAAAGTGGAACCTAAAATCATTTGGCTGCAAGTCTTATCAGAACATGGCATCAGTCAAATGGAATTCCCTCCCTGATGAACTTAAGCTGTCTCCAACCCTTGAAAACTTTAAGTGCCATCTCAAAACCTTTCTTTACAAAAAGTTCTATGGACTTTAATAATGCCTTATTGATTGTTAGCGCTATGAGCATACCTGGTGTGGAGTTTGGCGCTATATAAATGGACACATTATTATTATTATTATTAGGCGTTCACTACAACCGCGGATGTGGAATCAATAAGCAGTGCACATGCGACACATCCGAAAAGAAAGCTGCTTTGGTTACTGCCCGTTTCCCTGTAGCGCTTATAGTTCCTGGCCTCTTAGTAAACTGTCTTTCAAACCTAGTTTTCTTCTTGAAAGCAAAAATATAGAAAATTGGACTGAAACAGTCAAAAATATGTTTTACATGACACACGAGTTAAGATAAAAGTCCAGAGTGTTCTTACCGGAAATCCATCTTGGCCCTGATGGATTTACCGAGATGATGCGTGAAGTGAAACAAAAATGAACAATTGAACGCTGATAAGTAAACTTAAAGCAACTCTAATTAACAGCTCTGATGTTTTTCGCGAACGCATGTGGAAAAATGTATCCATTTTATTGCACCAGATTTTGTCATTTTACGTTTAGAGATTTAACAAGTGGTTTTACTCTCCAAGTCTAGTCAGGCAAGTATAAAACGCTACCGAGACATTAAAGTCGACGTTGAAAAGCCAAGCGAGGTTAAAAGGATGTATGATTCAAGCATTTGACAAAAAACATTCTCGGATTAAGTCTGGATGCTGAGTACCTTGGGAGTGGAGTCATCACGGGCTGATCGATTAGACAGATCTGGGGAGAAGTAGGTGAGCAAGTCAACTGACTGCTACTTTCATTTCCTTTAAGTTTCACTGCCTCTCCTCTCGTCATTATAACTATTGTGAAGAGGCGATAATTGGCAGTAAGTAAATGGAAAGTGTTTGACAGACGCTATACAGCGCCGCTTCATCCCACGGGTATCGGGACACCTTGACATAGCTTAGCATTCAAATGAAACCATCAGTGTAGAGAGTATTCAGTCCCCAATATCTTCAAACACAGATTTCACTGCGAGATAAATGTCATTTAGTTATGAAAAGTCTATGAAAGAATCACGAAACACAATGACAATACCAAGTGTTTCTGACGAGGTTCATCACCCGCACTTTCAAACATGATTAGAATGAATAAAGTATGATAAAGGTGTAACAGGGACATCCATTTGAGATTTGTATCAGTCGCTGATCGTCAGGTTTGGTAAGCTGATTGTCCAAAGAGTCCAAAAGTCCATTTACCATAAAAGGTAATTGATATCACGTAAATCCGCCTCTATTGTTAGACAATTCTGTATTCGACAAGGCATACTCCGAATCAAACGTCCAATGTGAACTTGGCTCATTCCATCTCATTATTCCTGCAGGCCAAGCTCGTTGATAGTAGTCGTTGGATGTTGACGGTGACGTACTCGCCTTCCAAGGATCTCCCAGATGGGTGACAAGCCTGGACATAGTGCTGTCCATGGTGAGGTGGTCACGGAGGTTCATGGTGGTCCTCAGTAACAATATGAACCCTGTGTGATCTTGCGCTGTCATCCTGAAACAGAAAGCGACGTCCATGTCGGAGCGCACATGGATATTGTCACGGTCGTACTGCAAAGTGACACGTCCGTCAATAACATGTAATGCAATGGTCCGTCGATCGTGGGATAAGACGTGGAAGTCGGGCATGCCGGTTCCATCTGTGTACCATATTGCGAATCGTCTGTCAACCCAAACTACACACTACACTCTCCAATTTGAGAGGCACTTTGTCGGTTTCGTAACACGGACGTTCTGGGGAAACGGTCATGTGCGCGAGCTGTCGACCTTAGTAGACTAGATCGACGTAAGTCATCAACATTATTTTGTCATTCGATAATGTGTTTGTAACCAGCGAGGAAAGGTAAAAAGTCTCAGAATCCTGACGGGACAGACGCTGCATGTGAAAAGCGTGTAATTGACTTTAAACCAGCACCAGAACAACTATATATATTAGTTTTTCATCTCTGAAACGTGTATCAACACACCAGCACATTCGACTGCGAGTTTCGAAATTTACCACGACCATGTGCACATGCACACTATAAAATTTGCTAGCGGGAAATTGGCGTGTTTGTCAGACGCTGTGAATGGAATAATTGAGACAATTCAAGGAGAAAAAAGCATTGCAATAGTATTGCAATAGTTGGTCGCAACAGACTATCACTATCGCAATAGTTGTTTCCCCCTCAATAGCCACCCCTTATGTAAAGTATTATATCTGCAAGTAACATATGTTATATTTGTGATTACACTTTCTTAGTAAAGTACAGATTCTAGTACTTTTTGGGTTGAGTCCCATCCGGGATTCGAACCCACACCCTCAGAGTCAGGCACCTAATGCCAGCACACAAAGTCAGACGCCTAGACCGCTCAGCCACCGCGGCTTCCACAAGGCTTGTGGGGTGACTGACTCTGAGGGTGTGGGTTCGAATCCCGGATGGGACTCAACCCAAAAAGTACTAGAATCTGTACTTTACTAAGAACGTGTAATCCCAAATATAACATATGTTACATTTGATCACTTTCTAAAATGGCATTGTGTATTATATATCTGCATGTATGGATTAACACATAAATGATATATATTCCATAATGACTTATTTGCTGATTTGTAGCCGTGTTTTCTCATGTGAACAATTGACATGCCTTTGTATGATTTTACTGATGCAACTGGTACGGAAAGATACGCTCAGGTCTTCCGGAACACCTGTTATCATCACTATTTGAAATTTTATTCATAAACAGATGATCTGATATAGTCTTGTTACTGGACCCTTCTTGTAAGAGATATTTCTATCAAATTGTTATTTTTTCCCTCTTAAATCATGCACATCATAGAATATCCCTCGAGGTTTACGCGTACAGACAGTAGATGTAAGGCTAGGTATGTTATATTGATAAGATATATTGAAATTAACGCAAGATAAAGGAGAGTACGCATCACGCACCGTGGCTTGATCTATAAACTAATGATGAAACACTTACCCCCTCTGTGTTTCCTAATAAACGTCTATTATTGGGATAGTTTATGGCCTTCACAACACCCTGCCTACTTTGAAGAATTTCTGTAATTAGCCCCATGTTGCGCGACTCGTTTTGATACACATATATGTCCTGTATCACAGTGTACTTATCTGCTCCACACGTAGGTGCATTATGTGGCACATATGCATTAACCCCAATCGTTATCACGACAGCAATTGATGCGGAAATAACAGTGCATACTGAATGATTAGACCAAACAGTGATAACCTTGTCTTGAGTTGCACTTAACCCAGCCCTCAGCGTTGTAATTGTCCCTTGAAGGTTAGGTTCAGAACTGGACTGCAGCAACCCATGCTAAAATAGTGAATGAGTGAGTTTAGAAGCAAACTACATCTTGACCAGACCGACTAGTTCGTGAAAAACGTTGCGTTTAGTTTTACGCCGCACTCAGTAATATTCCAGCTATATGGCGTCAGTCTGTAAATAATAGAGTCTTGACCAGACAATCCAGTGATCAACAGTATGAGCATATTATTCTTTTTGAGGGCAGTGACAAGACATTGTGACAGGTGCATTTCTCTAGGTTGATTTATATCATAAGGTACCGTGTTTCCAGCGGAACAATTGATTTTCCTTTGCATTTGTGAGGGGTGCCATGAGTTGGCCAAGATACGCTCACCCTCCCGCGAACAACTGATGTCATCTCTTTTGGATCGTCTTTCTCAACTATAACAGTGGACACTGCGTTCAGCACGATTATGACATGAATTAGCTATAGTTATGAAAAGGGTTTTGTTGCATTTCCGTTCTTATGTCATTGACAGTCAAAATACAGCGTGTCAGAAATATAATCTCGACATGAATAAACATAATCTTAACTGCTCCACTGTTTGTTTGCTTTGTTCTTTAACACCTCAATTAGTCAATATG